CGACCTCCCCCCACCCCCTACCAGCCCCCACCCCCAAAAAAAATATTAAGTTTGTTTTTAAAAAATATTTTCAACTTCAAAATTTCAATTTTTCACCCCTACCCTCGACCTCCCCCCCCAAAAAAAAAATTTAAGTTTGTTTTTAAAAACTATTTTCAATTTAAAAACTATTTTCTACTCTAGTAAAAATAAAAGATATTTCTCAAAAATATTTTTCATTCATAAATCAAACACTAAAAATCTTTTCTACTCACCAACCAAACATGAGAAAATAAATCAAAAATCAACTTGTTTTCCAAGAAAACATTTTCTAGGAAAACATTTTCCTTCATACCAAACACACTCATAGTCTAACTCTGTCCTTTTTGCTATTTTATGGAAACACGTTGTGAGAATGACTTTTTTTGATACGTAAAATGTATCAAAATGTTTTTTTAATTTTATTATTTTAAATATAAAATGACAAATAAAACGAAAGAAATACTATTTATGCGGCTATAAAATCTTTTCATTTCTGGTTTTTAAACGCAACAGTTCACCAAAATTTCCAACAACTTGCCCCCACCCTTTTCTCATTATGAAAGGAAAATAACTTTCTTGATAGGACTAATATAGAAATGTGTCACTTTCTACTGTGTATTTTGTGTAATAAATCATAATTCAACTACAAATTTCCCAGACTTCTTTTTAATTATTAATTTGAAGTTTCGTACATTAGTAAAGTTACACATGTGTTAAATGAAGTATAATAATAATTCGGAATTGAATTTTTTCCAATGAGTAATGAAATTTGTACCTTTCAAAATAGTGTAATTTGATAGCGGGAACTGTTATAAATAACAAAAACTACACACCTGTGTACAAAAGGGCAAAAGGTATTACAGAAAATAACATCTAAATAAAGGGGGGGAAAAAAAAAGGACCTTATAGTAAAATTCACTATGAGTTGAGTCCACTCTTACCTAATTGACAAAATTACCCTCAGCTCACATCACGGCACTCTTCACGTGCTTGATACAATATCAGCCTTTTCCCCCAAGTCATCAACTACTCGCCGGAATGTCCAAAACCGGTCACCGGCCGATTAATCTTCCGGCTGTCCCGATGTACGAACTTCGATAACTATAACTACATTAGATATAAATAGAAACTTGAAATTTGCAATTCAGATAGTACATCCACAGAAAAGGAAGAAAAAACAGAGCATAGAGACGAGAGCAATAGATTCAACGGCGGAGATGATAGACCAGACAATAGAATCAACGATGTTGAAAGGCAAGTCAAGGCCCGGCCATGACCATCGCCGAGGGGAGGAGGCCGAAACGACGCCGTCGTGGCTTCTCGAACTCCCATTCGGCGTGAAATACGAAGTGAACATCCTTGGCCACCGCATAAAGGACGTCGGAAGTGAAAAACTCAGTCGGATCCACCTGAAAGATGACGTGGAGGACCGGTGACACCCTGACTCCGCCATCTATCTGGTTTGTTTTTTCTCTTTGAGATATTGTTATTTGGCGGAAGGGAATAGAATATTTTGAGTATATAATCTTTTTCACAACTTACAAGAGGATTCTACCAAGTGCTAAGTTGGGGGATCTATATATAGAAAAAACAAATTTACTGTGTTCGGTTTGAACTAATAGAGAAATGAAAATTGAGCTAAGTTTAAAAAAGTATTTTAAGAAAATATTAGTTGCTTTGTTTCTATCAAAGACAAAAACAAAATATAAATATAACCAAACGACAGATTTTTGAAAAAAAAAGAAGATAAGTGTTCCTTTAAGAGATATTTTCTCAGAACCGGTTCAAACTTGTATTTTTAACGATCAAGGAAATATCTATTTTTCCCTAAAATATATCAATAAAGTAACCCTCATAGGAAATGGAATTGACTTACAAAAAACACTCTCTTTGTTCAATTATAATTGTCCATTATTGACTTGATACATGAATTAATAAGCAGTAAATAATTAATTTTATAAACTGGACAAATATTGTTGGACATCCCAAAATAATTAGTAGACAGGTAAAAATAGATCGAGGGAGTAATTTTAAAAAGTAACTTTTTAAAGTCAAACATAAATGACTTTTAAGTCAAAAAAATAAAAAGTAGAGAGAGTCCTACTTTTGACTTTAAACTTATTTTAAGTTATTTTGAAATTAATCAAACACTCCCAAAAGCTCAAAAAAAAAAATTAAAATAGATTTGATCAACTTTTAAGCTAATCCAAACAGGCTCTCCATCATAAGTAATCTTGTGTTATTATATTTCTCACATAATAATAATTAGTATAACTTTTTTCTATGTTATTTTATTTGAATTTACTGCTTCTTAATCTCTGTACAATTTAATTATATTTGTCACAGCATTTGATTGCAACTGTCTAAAATAAATGCTTGTTGAACCTCTTGGTTGTCATAGCGTAGAGAAAGCATTTTAAAAATTCAATTATTTTCGATGATAATTCTGGTTGTGACTTGTGAATTATGATGTTGAAATTTAAGAGTATAGAATTGGAACTCTATCCAAAAGCCATTCTACTTCTAGTTAGATAACGAAGGGGACAACTCGTGAGGATGTCTAATTTAATAAAGTTAAACAGAATTAATTAGACCCAAAAACACATGAAACACAACTCTGGTCTATGTAATACTACCTTCGTCCACTTTTAATTATTATTTGTATAGGACGAGGATTTGTATTTGTATATACAGTCTCTCTCGCTTTATACAAACACAAACATAAATTATATATTTGTGTTTGTATATGAAGTGAGAGGCGAGGGAGAGATGACTGAAAAAGAGGAGAGTGGCGAGCGAGATCCAGAGAGAGAGGCGAATGACAAGAAGTTTAATGCGAATTAGAATTAAATGAAACTGTAGCTATAACATTTAGTTTAATTTAAGAATTTGCTATAATGCACAATTTTTTCCTAACTACCATTTAAGTCCATACAATTTTAGCTTAAAATAAAATAAAAAACTTATCTCAGTAGGCACACAGTAAATCATTTTCGTATTCATATAGAAATTCAAATAAGTTGTTTTACGAAGAGAAAACATTGTAAATCATAAAATATTTTTTTTTAGAATTTAGATATTATTAAGTAAATAGTACTGAAGGTTACTTTTCCATTAAATATTAAAGTGGTGCTAGATCATCAATTATTAATTTGGACCAATTCAATAATGTTTACTTAGATCTCATATTAATATCAAGAAATCAATATTAAATGTGTATAAATATTAAATATTAATTTATGCTTAGTATATACTTTTTTTATTTCAATTTATTTGTCGTATTTTTCCTTTTAATTCTTTTTGATAACTTCTTAATTTTAGTTTTTCACATGATATTTAAGAATACATGATTTAATTTCGTGTGAAGTAAGTTTGTGTGTTTACAAATGGACCCTTGAGTGATTTTGACACCATGAAAAGTCAATATCATCGTGTCGTATTTGTTGGTGATTTGTATGTTCATACAGAAGTACCAATACTTGTTCATTAAGAAATAGACTTAAAGTTAAGATGTTGTGAACTGTTACATTGAATAGAGTGATGGTATGCCATGTTCTCTAGACGTTGCTATTTTTATATATAAAATCTATTGTTGTATTACTTTACTAGATAATGAAAGGTCTGTTACGGGCCCAATATTAGAATTTTATATATGTTTATAATAGAAATTTGATTAATTTTTGGGGAAAAAAATTATTATGATTATTTCAAATAAATATGATAGTAAATTATAATAAAACGCAATAGGTGTTTAACAAACAAAAATAATGACCTACTAGATGAAAATTAGAACGAACCATTTCATTCTTTACATTACAAAGTGATAAAATGATGAAAAAAAAGTTATGACTTTGTGTCTTGTCTTAATACTAGATATTAGGTTCCCGCGCCAGCGCGGGCCCAATATATATTACTTCCTCAATGAATTATATAAATTTTTATGACTGTAAATTATTTCATTAAGGGTAAAATAAATATTTTATAGTGAAATTGTTACTTAATATAGAAATGTGACATTCTTTTGGGACTGACTAAAAAGGAAAGTAAGTCACATAAATTGGGAGTAGTTCTTTGTTTCAATTTATGTGACACCGATGAAATTTGGAGAGTTATATAATTTTTTGTATGTGATTTTGTTAAATATATTTTGAAGTTGTTAATTTATTGTGATTTATAGCACTTCTTATATCATTTTCAAATAATATATATTACTCTTTCTGTTCCATTTTATGCGATGTAGGTACTTTTACGAAAGTCAACTAAATTTCTTATATGATTCTTAAATATTTTTAGTTGTTATTTTACTTGAATTTACCGTACTTTTAATGTTTTTTTGAAACAAACTTCTTTTGTTTCAATATGGAATTAAAGAGTCAATAAAATTTGTTTTATGATTTTTAATTATGTTGTTTTTAATATCTTATATTATTACATTGTGATTTTAAATACTTTTTATGTAATTTTAAATATAGAACAAATTAAAAGAAAAACAAGAAATGTGACATTCTTTTGGGACTGACTAAAAAGGAAATAGAACAATCCATTTGTTTGGGTTTCTTAAAGTGATCCCACATCCAAAGTGGGACCATGGACAAAGTCCAATGTAGATATCTTAGGTTAATTTATATACAATCAATGAGTATTTATTAATTAGCAAAATTGTAGTTGTAGGGGACTACAAATGCCCAATGTATTC